CCAAAGCTCACCATTAGGAACATATTACTAAAATCCAGTGTCAGTGTGGAGAACAGAGGGGAATAGTTTGTAACAAAAATAAATAAATATATGGGTCCAAACGCTTGGGAAAATAGCTCTTTGAAATGAATAAATAAATAATTTATATATCAGATTTAGTCATATAATGAAAAGAGTCTTACCTTCAAGGGGTGACGTAGAACCTTGTTTTAGCCTGAAAACATTCAACTCACATATTTAAAAAATGCATTTACACCTACACACACACCTCCACCCTCCCTAACACTGCAGTTTCCAGACAGCCACTGACATGCCCACCTGCTTGCTCAGATCGTTGCTCCAGAGAGGGAGTGTGGAAAGGCCAATGGGTGGCTGAACATCACATTACCTTGGTACATCAGGCAAAGTTTTTGCTATAAGGGAGAGAATTACTGGATTTTCTGGACTGCTGTTACAATGAATACTAATGACTGGGACCAAAATACTAATACGGTCTAATCAGACCATCCAATTTTAAGTTGATATCAAAGTTACTGGTACATTTTTAGGAATACTCTAAGTCGATACATGACCATAATAGCTGTTCTGTTTGTGTTATTATTAGTAACCTAGTAGTAGTAGTAGTAGTAGTAGTAGTTATCAATTTTCATTTATTATACATTGTTGCATCCATATTGCTATGAACTATGGCTAATCTTCCTAGCAAAATAGTCCACAGAAAGTCTTGTAGACTTCACCTCACCTGTTAAGTCTGCGACTCTGCTAGTGCACTGATCTCTGGACATTTGAATTCAGCGTTACTTTTCAGCCATAAAGACTCATTGCTATATCATAGAACATATGTTAACAGAACAAAGCCCATCTGCTGAAGAAGATCTGAATATGTGGTTCTGAGACCATTTCGTGAAGTGATCCTGAACTGTCACTTTAAAGCTGCATCAGTCAATATTTACAGGGGCAGAGCCAGAAACCTGGGGCTTAACCCAAAACTAAGGGGGTCCGGGGCCATGTTCCCCCAGGGAGGTTTTTTTTTCCCCATTTACAGCCACTCTATGTAGAATTTTTCAAGCCATTTGAGATAACAGAATAGACTAAAAAAACAAAAAAACATGATAGTTTTCCAGGAAAAGAAAATCCTCCTGTAGAGCCCACATCATATTTTCTATCTAATTGCTCTCCAATTGTCTTCATCATTCTGAAACCAGAACACAACACATTTTGAGGATGACTAATTTTCACTCCTACCACCTAAAACGAGGCACAAATTGTCTGATGACTATTTTTAAGTTTAAGTTACATAAACATCATTACTAATTTTGAAATCCATTTTTATTCAACTATGCTGGGGTAGAGGTCACTGAAATAACGTACAGCTGACATAATGAATAATGAATCTCAGCCATAATAAGCTGGGCTGCTTTAACGGCAAAGCACAGATCCCCAACAATGCCAAGTAGATGTCTTCAATACTCTGAATTGAATATTAGGCCAACAAAAGAACATTGCTTAAATTAGATTTCTTTAGGGAATAGCATAGTTGGATATGCATATATTATCATCTTATGGTACTTTATTTGATCTCTTATTTGATTTCATTTCTCTCACTCTCTCAGCTCCACTTATATTTCATCCACTGAAAAAAGAAAATATTAAATGAAAAAAGTATTAAGATTTCTGATCATAAACTTAAAACCTATTAAATGCCAATATTATTCTTTCCTACTCCTGGGACCTCTGATCTCCTTTACTCCTCTGTTCTCCACTCCTTTCTTCTCAACACATTTTCACATCTCATTTCCTACTCTCTCCTTCATTCTTCTCCTTCCCTCTCTTCCTTGCTCTTCTTCTCACCGATTTTCCCCTTCTTTCCTCCTAGCCCTTCCTTTCCTCCTCTTGTCCTGCTTCCTCTCTTGCTCTACAGGTTTTCTTTTGTCTTTTCCTCCAGTTTTTTGCACTCTCTTCATGTTTGAATGAACCCCAACAAATAGAGACGTTACCAATACAATTCTTCCCTTCCTGATACCGATTCTGATACCTGAACTTTGTGTATTGGCGGATAGCCCTAGTCGGACTCTGACTGGCTAGTACTTGTTGCCTTTGTTGGTTTACGCTATTTGAGCTTTTAGGTTTAGGCATGAGCAGAGAGATTGGTTAGGGTTAGGGTGAGAATATCAGGGTAAGCCAGTCTAAGAGGGTAGGGCATCCTGGGGGAAAAAATGGCAAATGGGATGTTGTTGCTGGATCGGTGCAGAGACTCACATTTTCGCCAGCATACCGCTACTGGAAATGCCTCCATCCTGGCTGTATTGGAGGCATTTTCAGTAGCAGTATCGGAACAATCCGAACAACAACACCCCCCATGCCAATATTAGGCCGGGCCTATTAATTGTGATATTTTTTTTTCTACTCTATGGAGCACAGCTTTTCTCAGCACATTGTTTTGGTTTTTATGACTCGCAGCTTTACGGTTTTGGTTCACTCTTATCGCTCTCATCAACTTTATTTCTGCTGTTTTCAGCAAAAACTGTCCGATAACAAACATTTTATATAGCATTGTTCTGGACATTAGACAATACCAGTAAATTCAGTCTGCAGAAAGGCTGTAAACTGAACTTAAAATATAAATCTGTTCTTGTTTCCCTCTTGTTTCACTGTTGTCTATGCCAAGTTTTCTGCTGTTAATTCATTCATTTCCTCTCACAGAAACAGGTATGTGTAAGTTCAATGTCTTCTTTTTCATTATTTCTCATACAAGGCGATGACCTATAGGCTTAAATCAGGTGCAAATTTGTACCTTTGTACTCAGTAGGCAGCATCTCTTCTTTGTGTAACAGGTCTGGCTGAGCGTGGGAGAGAAGGCAGATATTTTGAAGTTTAATCAATAATATAGTAGTGGGATCAAATAAGTATTGCACTGCAAATGGGGAAAGGTTTCTGTCTATGAAATCCACATTTTGCTACTGTGGGAGAGAGAGCCTCTTTTATCTCAAAACCTGCAAAGAAATTGATGTGGCTCTTTCACTTGTCGATGCAATGTTTCAATGAATGTTCAGGGGATTCCACAGAAAACTACGGGCTGTGACAATTTTCTAATCGAGATAAATAAAACATGCCAAAATGAGACAGTAATCATCTGGTGAAGCACACTTGAAAAAAAAAACTCTGGCTTTCTGTATAATCATTTGGGAAAACTCTAAACAAAAAGCTGAGTTTTTTCACATGGTAACACATTTTCCCTCCAAATGTGAAATGATCAAGCTCTAATATTTTAGTGTTGAATGCCGGTCTTCATCATGAAACCATTAATTAAAGCATTTTACTGAATAGACAGCACCTCAGACAGTAAAATTAAAATAGGAATTAATTCTCGACCTCATCGGCTGGAGGTTACATAACAAACATTTCCTCTCCTCCTCTGGAACTCAAATAAAACAACCTGTCTCAAGTGCCAGAGGAAGAGTAGCAGATTGTATCTGTGCGCAAACAGACATTTGGTACTGCGCTATTAGGGTTAGGGTAAATACTGTACAAAAGATGTGATTCACCCTTTTATGATTGCCGGTTCAAGTTTGAAGAAGGACCTCAATGAAGTTGTATCAAATATTTATACTAAAAAACAAAGTCAAGCATGTACAGCCTCTCAACAATGGCAACACACCTACAAAAAGGCTTTGTCACTGAAGCAACACCTGGCCATTATGGGTCTCTAAGCAACGAGTGTTAGTGCATGAAAGGAGGGAAAGGAAACAGCACCCGCTTAATTACGTGCTGGTTGAAATCTGTCTCCTATCTTCTGGGGGAGAAAGAACAAGGGAGACTGGTTAGAGAGCAATAGCCTGTGATTTCTGTCAACATGGGGTGTATTCTTTATTTAGAGCTTGATTTTCTTTTCCTTTTGAGCTCTGAGTGCTGCTACATTTTGTGTTGTTGTAGTGATAATTGGTAATGTTTAAAGGAAAACGCACATGAGGAAGGTGTAAGTTATGAGCCCAGAGAGCTGCAATAAAAAAAATGAAAAGAACAGCCTTCTCTTCTAAACTAATTCTGATCAGAATGGAGTCACAATCATGCTGATGAGGTAATAAGCAGTTGTTATTTGAAGGCCTCCAGTGCCCAATTCTGTTCATGTTATTTTACAAATTGCTTTTGCTTTTGGCAGGTACAGATGCAATCATCTGAGGGTTGCTGTCAAGTGTCCTTCTTACTTCATGCCTCTTGAGCATCTGATAGGACTCTGCATGTTTACATTGCAGTGGTAGTTCTCACAGGAGTTACTATGGAACACCTTATGGCAGCATTAATGGGAAACATTTTCAGAAAGATGTGCACATGATATTTTAGAATGTGTAACTTTAGAAAATGTAAAAAATAAGATTGTTTAAGGTTAATATTACTGGCAAGCAGATGTTTTAATGGTCACAGAGCCATTAATGGTGCGTAAGACCAGAAATAATACACACACACACAAAAAAAGGTGAAATCTAAGTAAAGCTTTAATAGTAAATGTATTTTAAGCTGACTGAGATGCATATGGTTAGCGCCTTTCTGCTGGCTGGATACTGTCATATGTGTTGGTTCAGTCTCTGATGTCACTGAATGAGCAGTGCGGGCTTCCAGTGCGCACCTTCGGGGACGCAGCGGTGGCACAGGCAGTGCATTTTCTGCTCGTCCACAACTACACCGACACCCTTTGCTTCTGCTATATTTCCAGCATCCGGATATTAATCTGTGGCTGAGCGTCCTCTGAGGAACTCCTCATCAGTGTTGTTGTATTTGAATGAACTTTTTTGGAGGCAGAAATACAGGTAAGGTGTTGTTACACTTGCGTATTGATGTCCTTGAGCGCGGGCTGTTGCCCCCCCCCATTAGAGCCATATCTGTGCTAATAGAGATATTTGCTGTTTTGTTTTCTTTCTTGTAGCTGCCGTCGGGAAGCTGTCTCCACCGATTATCTGTTTAAGTTGAGCGGTCAGTTTACGCCCAGCAGCGGCAGCAGCGGCAGCCCAGCCGGTGCAGCGTTCAAGCACCATGGAGAGCAGCGTGGTGCACATCTACAAAGAGGACAGGTGCCCCTTGGGACATCCGGAGGAGTGCACCCCAAACTTCACCTGGCAACCCGGCTTATCGGACGTCTTCAACTACACCCCCAACGGGACCTGGGACGCTGAGCCCGAGCCCATGTCGCCCATCATCCCCATTATAGTCGCGGTGTACTCCGTGGTGTTTGTGGTGGGCTTGGCGGGCAACTGTTTGGTGATGTATGTCATCATAAGGTGAGTTTCCAGCTTTGAAATGTGTCAGCTATTCATATTATGTCAAAAGCAATGCCGGACATCTCGCCAAGTGTGTGAAATATCGTGCGTACCTGAATGCATAGGGCTCATAAAGCAATAGGAAATTCAGTGCGTATTAATTTGTGACCATAAGTTAATAACAGTGAAAACTATTAGTGCTTGTTCAGCTGCTGTTATGGCTGTATTGAGTCCCCACAGTGCCATAAATGGGGGTTAAATAAATAAAAATGGCAAAAATCTGTGATATGGTGGAAAATATAAGTAGAATTAAATTTGTTTACATGTATATTTCTTGTTGTTTTGTTGTTTGCGCCTCTTCGTGGTGTTTTCCGTGCATGTGCATGTGTCTAAATGTGTTTTTTTCATTGGAAAACTGACCCTTGAATCCTGAGTTAATATTTTCTTCACCATAATGACGACATGCGTTATAGATTGTAACAAGGTTTGCAGTGATTGCAATGTCAATATTTCCGCTGAAAAGCTCATATGTCCCATTTCATGTAAGATTCGGCTTGAAGCCTCATAAAGGTCTTTTCATTTTAAACACTGGATGTGAGATCAACCTTGATAGATTACATCTTAAAGCCTTGAATTAGGCAAGAGATAATGGAAGTGGAGAAAGTGGGAGTTATTTTTCTTCCTTTTGTTCTATTTGTCTGTATGTACAGTATTTTGGCTGCTAAAGTTAATCTGTGTAATCTGTTTATTTAGAAAAAGAGCTGATCACCTTGGTAACTAATCCTTCTGAAAGTGATTTCATTTCCATTTCTCATTTCATTTGCTCTTCTTTTAAAGGATTTAACCAAGAAAAAAGCTAGACAAATGACAATCAAATCCATTCAACCTCTTCATGTTTTCTTCTCCCTCCTCCCACAATAGATACACCAAAATGAAAACAGCCACCAACATCTACATCTTCAACCTGGCTGTGGCTGACGCTCTGGTCACCACCACCATGCCCTTCCAGAGCACCGACTACCTGCTCAGCTCCTGGCCGTTTGGCGAGGTGGCGTGCAAAGTCTTCATCTCCATCGATTACTACAACATGTTCACCAGCATCTTCACGTTGACCATGATGAGCGTGGACCGCTATGTGGCAGTGTGTCACCCCATCAAAGCCTTGGATTTCCGCACACCCGTCAAGGCCAAGATCATCAATGTGATCATCTGGGTGCTGTCGTCCGCTGCTGGGATCCCTGCCATGATACTTGGCAGCACAAAGACCAATAACGGTACCTTGACCTTGCATACATTCACACTGCTCTGCACTCTTTTAACCTTTGATGTTTAACAGTATCACAGGTCTTTCTACTTATATTGGTCTGGTTTATTCCACGTCCCTGTCTGCTATAGAGAGAAAATACCTTCTGTCAGCTCCAAATGGACTCTTATAGGCAATTTTAGACTTGAAACCCCATTGCAGTCCAAGATCCTTGCATTGAATTATCTCAATTGGCTGCAGAAAGGATCCTTCAAATTCCATGAAGAGGATGTTCTGTAGGCTTGAAGGGAGCCTACATTACAGCTACTTGACTAGATGAAGCCATGACAGACATAATGTGTCCTGAGAATAGTGCTAGGAATATTCATTTTTCGACAGTCTAATAGATGGTTCGTGTTCACAATGAGCCTTCATTCAATAAAGCACAGTGCACTTAAGTCAGAGCTGTTAGACTAGCTGATGAATCTACCTCTCCGTGGTGATAACCCCACTACATCACAGGATCTGACATTATAGTTCTTAGCCATGCTAGCATGCATGTTGGTTCAGTGCTTGAAATATCTCAACTACTATTATTATTATAATAGTTATTTCAGACATTCATGGTTCCCAGAGCATGAACCATATCGACTTTGGCAATCTCCTGACTGTTCCTCTAGCGCCACCATGATGTTGTTAGTTAAATTGTTTTGAGAACTGTTGGGTGGATTTATGTCCCCACAGGGTTGTAATTAGTAGTATATAAACATTAAATACATGTACAACTACAACTCCTCCTTTAGGAACCAATAAGTGGAGGCTGATGTATAAATACACTGTAGATCCTAACAACACATCTTAATAAAAGAAGTAAGCTAACATAACTGAATCCTCCCACTCATTCCCATGACTTAAACCCAACTCAAAAATAAATTGTTGAAGTTGTTTTCAGTGCACTTAAATTTGTGCAGTATTTTAAGTATTGGGGATTTAATTCCAGTTTGTTCCATTGACTCATTTTCTTTACGCTGACTTTATATAATTTATTACGAGGTACTTAACTCAAATATTTTTTCATGCTTAAACCTTGGAGGCAATAAATTTAAACGGTTTAAGGTTTATTTTTATTTTTTTATCGGTTTCCTCAAACAATTTGAGTTGAACTCAACTCAACTCATAACTGAAATATGATAATAACAGTTATCATTTTACAAAATTAACACTTCAGCTGTGTTCAACTACATTATAGTGCATCATAAACCATTTAAAGTATAACATTTAAATGTTTGATATACTGCTTAGAAATGCTAAATAATAGAAGGACAGAATTAAATATAATCAACTTTCCATCTGGAGCTCTACTTTGTGTTTTGTGCTACAACCTCACAGAGCCGTTAGCAAGTCTTGTTGTTGTTGTTTTCTTCTAAATAAATATGATTAACTCTGTTGTAACAGGCACTACAGAGTGTGCCCTACAGTTCCCCGAACCCTACATCTACTGGGACACCCTGATGAAGATCTGTGTCTTTATCTTTGCCTTTGTGGCACCCGTCATCATCATCACCGTCTGCTACACACTGATGGTCTTGCGGCTGAAAAGCGTGCGCCTGCTGTCGGGCTCACGCGAGAAGGACCGCAACCTGCGGCGGATCACTCGTCTGGTGCTTGTGGTAGTCGCCGTCTTCGTGGTGTGCTGGACGCCCATCCACATATTCATCTTAGTCAAGGCGCTGTCGGGCAACGTGCCTGAAACCACCGCCGTCATGGCTGCCTACTTCTTCTGCGTTGCGCTGGGCTACACCAACAGCAGCCTCAACCCCATCCTCTACGCCTTCCTGGATGAGAACTTCAAGAGGTGCTTCAGGGACTTCTGCTGCCCCGGTGCCCAAGGACACAGAGACTGCCAGGGGGTGAGCAGGGTGAGGAGCACCCTGCGGGACCACTCGTGTCCCACAGAAGGCCGGGGAGATATGAGGCAGGCCAGGCCTGTATGACTAGCCATGGACATGTCCTCGATGCCCTATCAGGGCTGGGAGGACTCCAATGAGCTGGGATTGACTCAAATCACCACTGCCATCTAAGTAGAAGGTTAAAGAGAGGGATAGTTATTTATTTACCCAGAATGCTGGTCAAAGAATTCAAAAGCATGTACATTTAAAGGATAAACTGGGCATATTCAAATTTTTTCTTATTGTCAACAAATCCCACAAAAAGACCAAAACCATCAAAGAATTTAAGCTATTCCCTCACCTTCCAAAAACTGTTAAAAACATCTGTGAGCCACACTGTTGCATTGGGTGACACGTCCAACATTATAATGACCAATTATTTTGAGTTAATCCGATATACATCATCCTGCTGCTTGATATACTCACTAGACCACCAAATGTGTATCAATCCGCTGCTGAAAATAGTCCCTAATAAATACAGCACCAATTTCTCTTGTAAGAGTAACATTTTAAACATCTACAGTGCCCAGTGTGGTCTGATAAAAATAACAATAATAAAAATGAAACTATATATATGTGACCAAGCGGCAACCTCTGTGACTGACAAAAGACAACAAACAAGTAACAAAAACTGCAGTCCTTTGAACGGCCACTTGAGGCTACAGAAGTGATCAATCTCCATGAGGCCCCCATTTTAAAAGGCCTTTACTTTTTTTTTTACATTTACAGACGCAAAAACTCTTTTGATCTTTATAATTTCTCCATTCAAGACAACTGTACCGGGGGTGAAAAATTAACACATTTTTGGAGCCAGTGGAGTCAGGACTGCCAAGATGGCGACGGCCGAACCACACTGAGCTTCACAACTGCTCTTCAGTCTATGAGACCTGTTTTTAAAGAATGAGAATGAATGGGCTTGAGACAGGCTAGAGAAGTCAGAAAGTATTGAGAGATAGACATTGAACATGTTTTCGGTCTTTGTGGGATTTGTTGACATATAGAAAAATGTAGAAAAACATAGAAAAACACTGGACTCCTTTAAAATGAAGTTTAGATTAAAGGCCTATGAGACAGTGATTGTCGAAGTGCAAGGATGCCTCCAGGATCACAGCCCAGTAAGATTCAAAATCATTGTATAGTATTTTGCAGTGTATAAAATCCCCTCTGAAGAAATTGAAGCTTGAAGTATTAAAATTAATATATTATTTTTCACACTGTCGATGTCAAAAAAAATTATGTTCACGCGTGACAAACCAAAAGTATTTTATTCACATTTTGTTTACCTGACCTGTAAATTTTAGGTTTTCACATTAAAGTGATTAATATAGTTCTCTCATGCATAAAAAGATCAACTGGTATTTTGTGCACAGAATGAAAATAAGTAAATGTCTCTTATTCTTTTGGGAACAAATTGCATTATGAGCTTTGTTTTAAACTGACTGTGTTTTACGTGGATTGTAGTTTGGTGCTTTGTTGTATTGTAAATTTGTGAATAGTCGACATCTTTAAAGAGTCTCACTTTAGCAGAAAACCCATGTAGAATATTGAATAACCTCTCAGGGATCATCCTCTGTATAATTCACAACAAGAAGATACTGAATAGTATTTTCTTCTTGTCAAGATGGTTGACTGTCAGTGTTGAAACATTAGCGGCTACTGTTCTTTAAAGCTGAACTTGCTGCTTGTACTTTGAGAAACTATTATTATCCGACTCTGCTCCACACTTTTAAACACTTTGCACTGTGACGTCTCATCGAGGAGATGTCGAACGTTGTACATATTGTTGTCAACCTGACACATTCTCACCTTGTCTGAAATACTGGTACATGTGAAAACTGGGCAGAGGGCTCCTAGGCAACAGCTGACATGACAATGAGATACTGTATCTACACAACAGGGCTTTTGGTGGTTAGTGCAATTTAATGTTTAAACTGTAAACCTCTTCACAACATATTATACTTTCAGCTTGGTAACGTTTATCCTCATGAAAATTAGGTTTTCCCTCAGCAAAAAATAATAATTTGTGAGTGATTTTTTTGTCTTGGTTTCCTTATTGTAGTTTTTATAGGAGTCACCAGATCAACCAGAATTTATAAAATCAAAGGCTTCTGATGGTTTTTCTTGTAATGTAAAACTAACCATTAATATATTTATCTGTCTAGATCCGATGATACAGTAGTTATAGTAGAAAATGTGTTTTTGTGCCTTGTTTTGTGCCTTATCTTTAGCTATCTTGCTTGCTCTAAAAGATCAGCAATTAGCCACATACATTTTTGTGAAGACTTTTCCTTTAAGAGTATGAAAGTATATCCTGGTATAAGCTTACTGCTTAAAGTTATTGTAGCATAATCTAAAAAAATATAATACAAGTCTTACTGAGTACATCCCACTAGCTTAGCTTCATTACAATATGTGTTTTTAAGGATTATACGATTATTTTTGGCATTTTTTTGCCTTCAGTTGATAGTGACAGGTAAAGAGGCAGACAGTAAACGGGGAGAGAGAGGTTTATGACATGCAACAAAGGTTGCCGGTTCGAATCTAACTGGCAACAATGTGCTGTAACCATTCAGTTAAAACGCCGCTTTCAGTATGTGTTTCTTAACTATTCCTCTAATACTGTAACTTACTTGATAGACATGATTGTATTCACATGATTGGCCCAATTCAGGTCGACTACCATATCTGGTATAATGTGCTGCTGATTGTGATCATTGTTGGATTTAAGCTTTGAATGTCAAAACATGCTTAATATTTGTGCAACTAAGTCACAATAAAGCTGTAAAATGTGAGATTGCTTCATTTAAAGGAAACGCTATATGGGGGGGGGGTTCTGTCCTTCATATCTTAAATCATATCCAGGTGGGTTAACCGATAAAAAATATAGCAAATAAATATCTTTGAAATAACAGCCATGACATTACAATCCACCTCACGATGAATCTTTTGTATTTTTTTTCAAACTGGTATTAATTCTATTCAACTCAGACACAAAGTTAGTGTTTCCATGGTGAGCGCACTGACTGAAAAGCAGAAGTCCAAGGCTTGGTCTACTAATTATGAAGCGTTTTGTGTTGGTGGCCTTGCAGAGGAATTTGCAGTGACTGCAGATTCAGCCAGGAGGAGCTTATTTCTGCTGCTGTGCTTCCCTAGTTTTGGATTTACCAATTTCATTGTTCAGGTGTGAACAGAGGTGTGAGAATTTAAGAGGTGGGGGCACAGGATGCAGAAGAGGGATTTAAGGTCTTCATTACTTTGGTATATATAGGACCTACCTGGTGCATTTTAGTCAATGAATGTGTGCTTGATCAACCGATTACTAACTAATACAGGACCGCAGATCCTTCAGAGTTGGTAGAGACCAAAAACAAAGCTAAAAAGAGTGTGAATATTGGAGTTTCAGTCACCAGGTGGCCAGAAACTTGAATGATAATGTTGCTTAGTAACTGCTGGATGTGTCAATAAGCAACTGTTCAACAAGTTCTCTATAAAAGATGATGATATGTCAGTGTGCTTACAAATTGTTTCTGCTGTCCGCAAGCGCCAAACAAAATCAATCATAACCAAACTAGGCAGATCAGAAAAAAGTCAGATGAATTATTGCTGTAACAGTCAATTGTATAAATCTATATGTTGTCTTTTAGTTTGGAGGAATGGCTGAGATTTAGTAGTGCGGTGACAAATGATCCCTCACAGGCTGCAGCCAGCTGCCAACAAACCCAGTTGCATGCACAAATACTGAAAATTGTGTAAATTGACTGTATTGACGTTCAGTGGTGCCGTGGTGACCAATTTTATTTTTTTTAATCTCTATTGTATTTTTAATTACAGAGGTTTTTTCGCATTGAGGAAGCTGCAGCACCTCTTTCCAGCAGCTGACAGGCCTAATGATGCACAGGGATTTTCAGAGATTTGAGTGGCAAATTAAATCAATCAGCACTTGTGTGCACTGATGAAGCTGTCAGCCATAATGACCAAAATTACAGCATTTTTTTGTTCACTCTCTGTCTCTGTCTCTCCAGGTTAGTGGTTATTAATAAGCCATTACATGTAGCCAGGTTCAGTAACAGGCTCTTATGTCTAATAAGGCTCTGATAGGCTTCACTGCTCAAAGGAAAAACTGTCACTCATCACTTGCTGTTTTGTTAAGTGTGAATGTGTACATTATAATGTGTATTTATATTATACATTTGTATAGCTATTATTTATTTTAGTATCAGCTGGTAATTAATCTGGACCACTTTTCATTATAAAGAGTAGTAACTAATATCATTATTCATGATGAATAAATCTTAATAAGTAATGCTTTATAGACCTGTTAGAAGACATTAATGAGAAGAAGTGTTAAAGAAGAAAAATATTTTTGCCTGGTGTCATGCAGCTAATAGGTTTCTCACTTTATAGGTCATCATGACTGCAGTTATAAATCTTAATATGATGTTAATAAATAGATTTTGGTCAAGTGTAGAGAGGATGAACACCAGCCAGAGAGATTTTTCACAACCTGGCAACCCAAAAGTTGTTTGTATTAATGCCATATAACCATATAGGGATTATATGAAAGGCATAGCTAGGATCTTAAAAATACAGAGCTCATAGCCTCTTCCCCGAAGTGTAACCCAATCCAACCCCCAAACATGTAATGAATAAAATGACTATTTTATTTTATTTTATTCATTAATTTGTCTTTTCATTGATTTTTTTTCCTTTGTAAATTGTGTATTCTGACTGTTTCCCACCCTGCAATGATGGGAATTTATGGAAAGAAATAGTAAATCTCTTTATTTTAATTTAAAGTTTTAGCATTAAATGTACCAGCATTAGCTGTCAGAACCACCATGTTTAATTTGTGTGTAATTGTATAGAATGTAAAACCCTCAAAACCCAGAAATTCCCAGACACAATACAGAAAATTATTATAAAGTGGTACCAATTAAATTAAATGTAAATTTACTAGTACTAAAGTAATTTTCATTGTTGTTTAGTTTATTATTTCTATTTTATCTAACTTATAATTTACTAATAACTAACTAATTAACTTATAATTAACTAAATAACAAAGGAAAAATTTAACTTTACTATAAAAAACTATGATAAATGTATAAAATATAATGCATTATTAAGATTAAGATTAAATCAGTGGTTCCCAAACATTTCGGCTAATGATACATTTGTACTTAAGTGAATGCATGACTTTTTACATTGTTGTATTGGTACTTTTACTTAAGTTAAAGATCTGAACACTCCTTCCACCACTTATAACTGCTCAGTAAAACATGATCTATTTATCTTTAATTAAGCCATTAGTTGCCACCTTTATAAAGGGTGCTTGAATTTCCCTCGGGATAAATAAAGTATCTATCT